ATTTTTCGGAAGAATCACTTATAAACCCTTTGAATTATTTAGCTTGAAAGAGTTAAGTTAAAATTGTTGTGTGTTAGCTACACTGTCTCGTCAAATAAGCAGTGGTGAGAGGAACAACATCATACATACCCTGGTTTCCATTTTCAAAGTCTATACAAGAACCATCAAGAGAATGGTGAATAAGTTAAAAAAGAGGAAACAGTAGAGATGGAAACTGGATCAGGATCTCACAACCGGAAGAGGGATCATCATTTCAATTAATAAGTAAAAAAGCTCAATTACAAAAGATCCAATTCAATCCAGAAGACGTTTGATACGTGAGAGAATAGATTCAGTTATGACAATCCAAAGAGCAGTGAAAAAATATTTGAAAATGAAGTGGTACGTAAAACGTGAGGCACCTTGTTACTCCAGTACAGAAAGTTAGAAGATGAAAGAGGGCAGAGGTCATCTTGAATAAGTTGGAAAATCATCCTAGTATAATATATTCATATTTGATCTTTATCTCAATCCTTCATTGGCTTCTGATCCTTAGCCATGATTAATTAATGATGAACATGTCATTTTCGTTTCTGATCGATTTTTATCACGATTCTTCTTATAAGCTTGGAGAGTAATTATACATGCTCATTGCTCAAAGTAGAGTCCAGTAGTGTTATAAAAACCTCGGAGAATTCCAGTAAGATATCTTGAATCATTTCTAAGATACAACGGTTCAGAGCTTAATGTAACAATTGGACAATTTTGCTGTTACACGATTTGGACAATTTTGCTGTTACACTCGGTTTGTGTATCAATTCATTTCCTACCTAATCTAATATCATTGATAAAGGATGGTTATGAAGGAGTCTTTCGATGAATCAAAGCTCACTGGATCATTTAATATTCGTCTATATTTCTGAGATGAGTTATTATGTACATTATTTACATTATTCGGACTATTGTCCCCATATTTGTCGCCATATTTATTACAACGTTTCGGCCGTGGTACGCTCCGGCCTTCTTCATGTGGTTGGAATGTCGAACTGAACCCTTTATTTCGCTCGCTGGGGTAGACTGTTCTAGTTCCACGTGCCACATTTTTAATGGATGTCAGTTATCAGTTAATCCTGTTAATTTCCCTCTGAAAGTTTCTGCACTGCCTTAACCGGGTGTTGAACTCACACTGTTTGGGTCGTGTCACTGGATCCAACTAACGCTTTTAACCACTGTGCCATGTGAGCGAAATAAAGGGTTCAGTTCGACATTCCAACCACCAAAGAAGGCCTGAGCGTACAACGGCCGAAACGTTGTAATAAATATGGCGACAAAGATGAGGACAGTAGTCCGAATAATGTAAATAGAAATCAAACATAATACCTCATCTCAGAAATATAAACAGATACTGAAAAGGCCGGAGCGTACAACGGCCGAAGATTAAATAATAATTATGGCGACAAAGATGGGGACAATAGTACGGATTATGTAAAAGTGAAATATTTTAATTACCTTATCTCAGAAATATAGACAGATACTGAATGGTCGAAACGTTGTAATAGATATGGCGACAAAGATGAGTACAATAGTCCGAATAATGTAAATAGTGTACATAATACCTCATCTCAGAAATATAGACAGATACTGAAAGACCGAAACGCTGTAATAGATATGGCGATTAAGATGAGTACAATAGTCCGAACAATGTAAATAGTGTACATAATACCTTATCTCAGAAATATAGACAGATACTGAAAGACCGAAACGTTGTAATAGATATGGCGACAAAGATGAGTACAATAGTCCGAATAATATAAATTGTGTACATAATACCTTATCTCAGAAATATAGACAGATACTGAAAGACCGAAACGTTGTAATAGATATGGCGATAAAAATGAGTACAATAGTCCGAACAATGTAAATAGTGTACATAATACCTTATCTCAGAAATATAGACAGATACTGAAAGGCCGAAACGTTGTAATAGATATGGCGACAAAGATGAGGACAATAGTCCGAATAATGTAAATTGTGTACATAATACCTTTTCTCAGAAATATAGACAGATACTGAAAGACCGAAACGTTGTAATAGATATGGCGATAAAGATGAGTACAATAGTCCGAACAATGTAAATAGTGTACATAATACCTTATCTCAGAAATATAGACAGATACTGAAAGACCGAAACGTTGTAATAGATATGGCGATAAAGATGAGTACTATAGTCCGAACAATGTAAATAGTGTACATAATACCTTATCTCAGAAATATAGACAGATACTGAAAGGCCGAAACGTTGTAATAGATATGGCGACAAAGATGAGGACAATAGTCCGAATAATGTAAATAGTATACATAATACCTTATCTCAGAAATATAGACAGATACTGAAAGACCGAAACGTTGTAATAAATATGCCGACAAAGATGAGGACAATAGTCCGAACAATGTAAATAGTGTACATATACCTCATCTCAGTAATATAGACAGATACTGAAAGACCGAAACGTTGTAATAAATATGGCGACAAAAATGAGGACAATAGTCCGAACAATGTAAATAGTGTACATAATACTTTATCTCAGAAATATAGACAGATACTAAAGAAGGCCGGGGCGTACAACGGCCGAAAAGTTTTCATAAATATGGCGACAAAATGAGGATAATAGTCGGAATAATGTAAATAATAATCGTATTCGTATGTAAATGCTGATCGTGTTTATACTTGAGTCTACAGGTAAAATTTGATTGGGTTTATACTTGAGTCAATGGATATACGTTGTTGAAGTTATACCCGAGTCAATAGCTATATATTTTTCATTATTTACAATGCGAACAGATTTTCGTACTTTTGTCGCTGTTATAGTCCGGATGTAAATAATGATAATTCCTCTTTCCAAAAATTTAAACAAGAAACTTTGATCATAATTATAATTCATTACATAATTAAACTTTCGTTGGTTTTCCTCTGGAGTATATAGATTAGTACACGGTTTGCACTTTAGACCAAAGGGATAAATCTGGTTGTGTTTATACTTGAGTCTATACATAAAAGCCTTTGTCATTTACACTTGAAATATGGGCATATATTAGTGTTGAAACTTGACTAATGCATGGAATAATAATACAACACAAAATGTACTTAGAACAAAATGTATTGAAACAAGAAAGTGTACACAATATTTACATATAGTCTTTTGTATATTCTTGGGAAGACCGTTCCTGGAGAATGTGTTGACTTAGTCGCAGTCGGGCAGAGTCTCTGGATTGAATCTCTTGATTCCTCCCTCGTCTTCGCGGTACCAACCATATTTATATGGTCGGTACTCCACTATGCAAATTAGGTGGATCCTACCACAACAATTAGTCAGCTATGTACTTGATTTTTTAAGGAAATATTGCTTCTTTATACCAGATTCTTTGTATTCTAAGCCACACTTATTGAGCAAAGGTCATTGGTTAGAAAACTTTTTCGTATTGCTCATCGATATAACCTTGCAAATTAGTCTGTAATTTTGAGAGTAGCATCTTCAATATGTTTCCTAATAAGAAAACCAAAAAATAATCTCCAATATTACGATTACTCCTTAATTAATGTATTTAAACAGTATTTAAATCAGTGAAATCGAGGAACACTGGGCATTTACCCATTTCTAACACTGAGTTACAAGGTTATTTATACCTTTGCAATAAAATTCTAAAGGTTTTCATACATAAATATCTTTAAAGTTGCTACATCTTCTTTGCAACAGATTATCTATCTATCTATCTATCTATCTATCTATCTATCTATCTATCTATCTATCTTAGTCTGTTCATTATCTATCTATCTATCTATATATCTATCTATATAAATAAATAAAGTCTTTCTTTCTTTCATTCTTTAAAAAAAATTCATTCTTTCATTGACTTCTCTCATTCATTCTTTCATTCCGAAAAAAATTAAATTCCTTATTTCATTCCGCTTCTCATTCATTCTTTCAATCCGACTTTGTCACTTTATTAAGAACATGTTTGCTTCTCATTCATTCTTTCAATGAAAATTCTCATTCCTTCTTTCAGAGATACCTTCTCATTCATTCTTTTCATTCCGCCATTCATTCCTTCTTTTCATTCTGATCTCATTCCTTTTTTTCATTCAATTTAAATCATTCATTCTTTCATTCCGCTTCTCATTCCTTCTTTCATTCCGCTTCTCATTCCTTCTTTCATTCCTGTTTGAAATTCCTTCTTAATGTCCTTCTTCATTCATTCTTTTCATTTATATTTCATTCATTCTTTATTCCGCTTATCATTCCTTCTTTCATTCAGCTTCTCATTCATTCTTTCATTCCACTTGTCATTCCTTCTTTTGAAGGCTTGTCATTCCTTGAATCATATGCTTCACATTCATTCTTTCATTCCGCTTCTCATTCATTCTTTCATTCCGGATTCATTCATTCTTTCATTCCGCTTCTCATTCCTTATTTTCATTCATATGACTTCTCATTCATTAGATTCATTCAAAATATTCTCACCAAAATAAAGGGTTTTTTAAAAGATACTTCTCATATTTTCTTTCATTAAGACTTTCATTCCTTCTTTCATTCCGCTTCTCATTCATTCTTTCATTAAACTTCTCATTCCTTCTTTCATTCATTGGCTTCTAATTCCTCATTTTTCATTCCGCTTGTCATTCCTGGATTTCATTCCGGAAAAACATTCATTCTTTCATTCCGCTTCTCATTCATTCTTTCATTCCGCTTCTCATTCATTATCATTTCATTTTCCTTCTTTCATTCCTGAATTTCATTCTTTACATTCTCATTCATTCTTTCATTCCGCTTCTCATTCATTCTTTCATTCCGCTTCTCATTCCTTCTTTCATTCCGCTTCTCATTCATTCTTTCATTCCGCTTCTCATTCCTTCTTTCATTCCGCTTCTCATTCCTTCTTTCATTCCGCTTCTCATTCATTCTTTCATTCCGCTTCTCATTCCTTCTTTCATTCCTTCTCATTCCTTCTTTCATTGTTTTTAATCATTCATTCTTTCACAAAGATATAGATCATTCCTGTTTTCATTCCGCTTCTTCTTTCCTTCTTTCATTCCGCTTCTAATTGAATTCTTTCATTCCACTTCTCATTCCAAATTTAAAATTCCTTCTATTCATTCTTTCATTCCGCTTGTCATTCATTTTTCATTAAAAAATTGTTTTTATATCTTTCATCAAAGCTTCTCATTCATTCTGGCAATCCCGCTTCTATGGGACATTCTGCAAATCATTCCTTCTTTCATTCCGCTTCTCATTCATTCTTTCATTCCGCTTCTCATTCCTTCTTTCTCTCTTTCTTCTTATCATTATTTTTTCTTACTGTCTTTCCGTTTGTCATTATTTCTTTTTTCTTTCTTTCAATGTTTATATCTATCTATCTATCTATCTATTGTTTACGTCTTTTCATGTTTACTTATCTATCTTTTAGGTTGTTCAGAAAATAATGTCTTTATCCCTGAATTAATGTATTTTAACAATGTTTAAATCAGTCAAATAGGAAGCCTGGATATCTAGCCATTTCTGCTATTGCGTTACAAGGTTATTTATGCCTTTACAATCAAATTCTAAAGGTTTTCATACCTAAATATCTTTAAAGTTTCTAAATCTTCTTTGCAACAGATTATCTATCTATCTATCTATCTATCTATCTATCTATCTATCTATCTATCTATCTATCTATCTATCTATTCCAGTCTGATTATCTATCTATCTATCTATCTATTTTTTTCAGTTTTTTTCATGTCTACCTATGTATCTTGTATGTTGTTCAAAATATAATGTCAAGTTTTAGAATCGACTTTTATAGCTGAGTTAATGTATTTAAACAATGTTCAAATCTGTCAAAATAGGAAGCCTGGACATCTGACCATTTCTGTCATCGAATTACAAATTTATTTATGTCCTTGCTATAAAAGTCTAAAGGTTTTCATACCAAAATATCTTTAAAGTGTCTATATCCTCTTTGGAAGAGAGTGTCTATCTATCTATCTATCTATTTTTTTCAGTCTTTTCATGTTTACCTTTTAGGTTGTTCAAAATATAATGTCAGATTTTAGAATCAACTTTTATACCTGAATTAAGTTATTTAAACAATGTTGAAATCTGTCAAAATAGAAACTTTGAACGTCTATTCATTTCTGACAACGAGTCACGAGGTTATTTATGTCTTTATGCAAACAATCTAACAGTTTGGATGCCAAGGAATCTTTGAATGCAGTTTCTACATCATCTTTAAAACCGAATTTCTTTGGGATTAAAAAAGACCTTTAAAAAATGTTAGGCAGTTGGCAAGCGAGAAAAGTGGAATATGGTGGGTGTGGAAAAGTTTCGTATTCTGATTCACTGAGCTTTTTTTGCAGTGTCACCCTGACAAGCACTCTCCTAAAGCGGAATTAAAAAAATGCCCGTCGCGTTTTGCTTAACTGAATGTGGATATCATCCATTTGCTGGCAGCAAACTTCTGCCAACTCTGCTGAGATTCAAGAAAGACTTGAGGAATAATGTTAATGGCGTAGCACCAGACTGTGGCCATAATCTTATTTTGGGGCAATTTCGGTTTAAGAAAGGGTGCCCAAATATCTTTGAAGTTTCTACATCCTCTTTGCAACAGATTCCATATCTATCTATCTATCTATCTATCTATCTATCTATCTATCTATCTATCTATCTATCAAAGTATGATGTTATCTATCTATGCATCTGTTTATCTATATATTCCAATCTATCTATCTATTTTTTTCAGCAAATGGACTCACCCAGTATATACATATACTACTGCTACGTGAAGACCCAGAAGAGCAACAGAGGGTGAAGGTAACAGACAGACAGACACACAGACAGAACGAACGTAGCCAGCAAGAGTCACAGAGAGCGAGCACGTAGACTCAGTAAGAAGTAATACAGCGATACTTCAATACCAAAGACTGTACATATATTTTGCTACTAACCCGTATTCCTGGAACTACTAACCTGCATTACCAGTTTGTATTATTACATTAATACATTATTTTCCTATATTCATTCTTGGCGTTTGTTATTTATTGGTACCGGATTTCAACCCGGAATCCACAACACTATCCATTTCTGACATCGAATTACAAGATTATTTATGTCTTTATACAAAAACCTAACGGTTTGAACACCAAGAAATCTCTGAATGCAGTTTCCACATCTTCTTAAAAACCGAATTTATTTGGGTATAAAAAAATGTCAAGATTCTAGAAAAATGGTAGGCAGTGGGGGAGAGAGATCAGCGGAATATGGTGGGCGTGGAAAAGTTTCGTATTCTGATTCACTGAGCTTTTTCTGCAGTGTCACCCTGGCAATACAGGATCGAGCACTTTCCTAAAGCAGAATTAGACCACGTCGATTAAAAAAAATGCCCGTCGCATTTTGCTTAACTGAATGTCGATATAATCCAGTTGCTGGCAGCAAACTCTGGTTAGATTCAAGAAAGGCGTGATGAATAATGTTAATGGCGTAGCACCAGACTGTGGCCATAATCTACTGTTGGTACAATTTCCGTTTAGGAAAGTACGCGCCAACCTTTTTCGTCAGAAATGAAAAATTTTTAATGGTTGTCGTTTACGATTGTCATAAAGGACCGATTTCTCATCCCAAGTCACTATTCAATCAATAAATGGATTATTTGAATTTCGCAGATGCAGAATGGAACAAACTTCTAAACGTCGAACCCATTTATCGAGTTTCTTCATCTTGCAGATTTTCTTGAAATGTTGCGATAGGGTTCAAATGCTAACGAATATTACCTGGAAAATTTCTCGGAAAATATCAGGTGGATTTCAATCGACTAGTGTTTTCAGGTTGATTGTCAATTGCAGATGGACGTCTTCTACTAGTTTGATTTTCAAGACTCGTATTCCCACTGCGGAACTTCAGAAAACAGATGATAGGGATATAATATTTTAAGATAAATTCTGAACGAGATTTATATTAAAATTAACAAGGAGGATACTTTAATCATGAGGAATGAGTAACATATATTTGTCCAACGATTACAATAATATATTAGGACCCAATAGCTTTATTCAGGTCAAGAAAGACAAAAGAACAAAAGGGGTCATCAGTCAGAAGGTTCATCTTGCATTATGACAACGCAAGGGATCCACAGCAGCCCAAACGGTGCAGACCATCAACGAGAACTGGAGAATGCTCCCTCATTTTGACAGCCCAAACCTGCCCCTTCAGATTCTCTCACCTGTTTGGTCCCTTGAAAACGTTGGAAAAGAGGAGAAGTTTAAAAAAAACGATAAAGATAAAAGTGTTGTCAAAAATGATGACATCAGTCCTTTTTTTTTACATTGAGGGAATACAGAACTTGGAACAGATGGGAACTTTTGTGACAGTACTGGGAGACTAATTGAAAAATAAAAAAAAAATTTAAATATCTGTTGGAATTTCCTTTACCGAAAATTTCCACCTTAGAAACAAAAATGACCCTAATATATTCGCAAATTAATGTTTGTCCTTTTTTTTTGTGTGTGTCTTTGGCCAGATCTGTTTCCCAGATGACACAGTGCTGATAAGCAGAAATAGGGGCGTAAAAAAAAACCTAAACAGAACGTGGCGAAGAAGAACGAGAAGTTTGTTGTTTTTTTGATTTTCAAACACATTTTCATCAAACACCTCAATGGCTTTTTAATGCCGACAATCCTTTTTTTCCCCTGGTAATATTTTGTGAATTTCAAAAATCCAAATTAATATTTAAAAAAAAAAACGTATAGCTGGTAATATTTTTTTCAAAAACGTATAGCTGGCAATATTTCTTTTTTGAATAAAAACGTAAACTGGCAACATTATTTTTTTCCTAAACATTAATTAAAGGGTTTTTAATGTTGGATAGTTTATCGTCTTCCCAGGACGCGGATGTAGTTTATCCAGGCAAAACAGGCTAGCGGATGTAGTTTATTCATACCCAGGACGCGGATGTTTTTTGAATCGACCAGCCGCGGATGTGTTTTTGTCATTCCCAGGATAAAATAAATGTTTATCGTCATACCCAGGACGCGGATGTAAGTTTATCGTCATATGTTAAAAGCGGAACAATAGTTTATCGTCATATCCAGGACGCGGAATCTTAGGAAAACAAAGGCCTGTTTAACGACGAATCGTCATTCCCAGTAAAATCGGATGTAGTTTATCAAACACACACCCAGGACGCGGTGATGTTTATCGTCATTAACCAATTGTCAATATACATCGTCACAGGACGCGGATGATTGGTTGATTGTCAAGGCAGGCCGGGAACCCATGGTTTATGGAATAAAATTAAGGGGAGCGGATGACTGGTTTATCGTTTTGGAGGACGCGGATGAAGTTTATCGTCATTCCTATCAGGGAGCGGATGTATTTTATCGTTTTTCCCAGGGGAGCGGATGTGCTTTAACAAATCATCTTCAGGCCGCGGAAAATAGTTTATCGTCATTTTTAGGGAGCGGATGAAATTTAAATCGTCATACTCCAGGACGCGGATGTGGTTTATCGTCATACCCAGGACGCGGATGTAGAACGAGAAGAAGGGATTTAATTATAAACTATACAAGAAAACAACAACTGAAAAAGATGAGCCCAAACCCTGTGAAAATCTACAGGCCGGGACGCTAAAATCAAATATATTATATATATATATATATATAGAATAGGAAAATATGAAAATATATAAGAATCTACGTAATTAATGTGTTTGGGTGGAATATCACCATAGTGTGTGGAATCGGCGTGCAGAAAAAAACAACTTGGTGCTTGTACAAAAGTCTGTTAGAACTGTTAAGCAACCTTAAAAATATTCAGAAAAGACATCAGAATAATAAAAAAAATCTGTTATATATTAAAAATCAGGTTTGTTTATTAAAGGGGTCCTTAGTCAGGATGTTTCTTCTCACCGGACTTGAATAACCTATATATCAAGGCAATTATGAAAAAAATAAATGGAAGGGTTCAAAATCTAAATATTTACAATCTTAATAACATAAGATATAATTTAACACAATTCTTAGCGGTTACACAGAAAAATGGTGCAAAACAAATCTTCAAAACAGAATATGCAGGAGGAAATAAAAAAATAAACTATATATATATATATAGATATAAACAAAAATGATGAGCCCAAAAAATTTACAGGTAAATCGGGTACTAAAATCAAGCAGGTACAGAAATTCAATTATCTGGGAAATATTTTAACGGAGGACGGAAATTGTGGCACTGAGATCCGATTTATCGTACAGAATAATCAAGTTTACTAAATTTCAAAAGTTAAGCTTTTTAACGTAAACAATTGTCAATATGTTTATAAAAGAAGTCATTTAAAGATTAAATCCAAAATCGAAATATAAATCCCCTAGGGCCTTGACATTTATAAATATCTATTCATCCAACTGGTTAACATCAATACTTTTATCTCTGGCCGTACAGGTAAATCTCTTTGTCTCTGTATAAGGCGTTAGATCGTCCCATCCAAGAATAAATGCAATAACACCCTTTACCCGAAAAATATTATTAATTTATATATATAACACTAATTTTGCACTAAATTGTACAGTTCATAAGTTGTTGTGTTTTGGAAAATAGAAAAATAGGAACGAAATTTAAAAAAATAATGTAATGGAGTTCTGCAATATATTTTTGTTTAAATTAAATAAATAAAAAAAAATGGGCAATAAAAAAGGAAAGAATGATAAATTATAATTATTTAACAAAAAAATACGATTCCTTAAAACGGTTCTCAAAAAAAAGAAAAGAAATATCTTAAAAAAATTAGACATTGTAACCATAATAATCTTCTGGCTTTATCATCTTATTCGGGGTTAAATTCATCAAAAAATTTAATTGTTAATTTTCAAGTGACACTAAGTTTTCCTAACGTGAATTCAGTTCATATTAAGTTCATAAGGTTTGGCTTTATGTAAGAAAGGAAATCTTTTTTTTTTTAAATATTTAAAAAAAAGGCGTTTTGGTGTTTTGAAAATGTTCATAATGCCAATCAACCTTAATTGCTCTTGTTAAATGATATCAGGACAGAATGCGTTTAGTCCAGAGGAAAAAACTGTGTTTAGTTAATGGGTTTGGCAAATAGATGGCAGAACAGGGTCCGGGAAAAATAGCAAAAAGACAAAACTTATTAAAAGCCCCAAGGGACAGGGGAAAGCGGAGGCCATAATCGTGAACGTACCCAGGAACGGCACATAAAAAGAAGAATTTAGATATTTCATTCAATTGCTATATATATATTGCCAGTGGGATTTTAATTTCAGAAATGAAGATAACGTCAATGAACCAGATTGTCGCCATTATGTTTTGTTGGGGTAATTAAAGTTTTCAATTAAAAGGATATATTCAAATTTTACGATTGATATAAAGGTCCATTTCTAAAGCTCTAAATGACCAGGAATTCAAGACGTCTTGAAGGAATTTCTAACTTTCATTGAGTTCACCCGGAATTCTTTCATCAAGTTTATTTATATTGCCCGTTTCTTTTGAAACTGTCTGATATTGATGACGTTCTAACCTTTTGCTGATTCGGATGGGAATCTGGTTAGATTCGGTATCAGCCTTGTCGTTCCCAGCTCGCCTCCAACGTCTGGTTACCGAAGTAACTGTTTTGATTTCTAGTCTAACCTACCCACGTTGTGATTTGATCTTAGGTAGACGAAATCAATCAGTCGCCGGGCCGTAATGCAAGCCGAGTTCGAACAAGGGTAACACCGCACAAGTATATGTAAAAGAAAATAAAGTAATAACTCGAAAAGTTCAAATGTGTAAAAAAAAAAGGATAACAATATTTTATATCTGGTTTGCTGAATACAGGACTGCGTCTTTCTCCCAAACCGCTTATATGGATTCGTGACACTTTGTGTTTGTTAGGCGAGTCTTAACATCTTAAGTTGTTTGTTCTTTAAGAAACTGGTTTTGGTGTATCTTCAGGCGATATTCGTAAAACTTGTTTTGGTGGTGTGAGTCTAAGTCGTTCTTCAAAAATAAATTGTTCTTGGTTAGAAGTTGAGGTCGTGAATGCGTGGAATCTTTCAGTCAGCTTTCTGCGAGGCGGGTCCTCAGAGCTCTCAGCTCAACTGCAACTGCTTGCTGTCTGTCTCTCAACTGCAACTGCAACTGAACTCAACTTTCAACTCGCTGCGACTCTGCTTATATGGACGCCGACCAAAAACGGGGTGGGCTTGTCGGGGTTTGAGGTTCCTTGATAATTCTAAATCCGCATTAAGGGTTTTTCTTTGTTTTCGGTCAGGAAAAATTTATTAATTTCCATTTACTTTTTGGAAGTTTTTGGAATCGTCCTCCCAAATTCTTCCTTTCTCATATTGGTATCTCACCCATCCTCTCAGAGGGCGTCAACGGGTTTCCCCTCTCTCTCACAGTGGCATCTCATACCGATCCCTTCAGGGAGCGTCAACAGGCCTCCCCTCCTTCTTCACATGATTACCTTAGCCTACCGCTCACGCCACCATTCAGCCAATGGGCGCTCAGCGGCGTGGGTGTGGCCGGACTAGCCTCGGTTTAAAAAAATCTTGCTCAAAGAAAAAAAAATTATCTTCCTTTTTTTTTCTTTTTTTTTTTCTTTTTTTCTTCTTCTCGGACTCGTAGTGTGGTCCCTTAACTCTTTTTAACCGAATGTCACCTGGAACTTTATCAATCGAGATTTTCGCCAATCAAGTGGGTGGTCATCTGGCGATATCCACAGCCAATTATTCGTTCTGATAAAATAATTTTTTTATCATGGCCAGCTCCTGACACAAAACAGGTGTTTTTTTCCAAACGACATGATATCTCGCAGATAGTTAATGGTTTATTCTTTTTTTTTGTAACTCTGCGGGTGGTCCAGCAGCGGACATTTTGTTTTTCGGTCAATTTTTTTTGACCTAATTAATTTTTATCTCTTAGAATTCTGCCCTGTAGGCCACTTGACCAATTTGAAATTTTCATCATTGCCATGGGCAGATTGTATATATTTTATTCCGCGTCGTATAAATAAATTAATTCGACATCCGCGACCTTACTTTTTTTCTAATGAAAATAAAATCTTTATTTTTTTCTTTGTTAAAAAAAAATAACATCGTGTCTTTTCGTGATAGATTCTTATCTCCTAAAATTTATTCTCGCTTTTTTTTTTTTCAAATAAATTTTGTTTTTTTCACGCAACCCTAAATAGTGTCACACAAGGATATGTCTAGAATCATGACTTATTTTTTTGGGAACTTATTCATAATAATAATGGAAAATAATAAAACTGACACATTATATTCTTCTTGTTTTAAATCAAAGATTGTTTACATGGAATATTAAACGAGGAGAGATAATATCATTTATTTTAAATGTCACAATCAAAAATGTATAATACCAAATAAAGGTGATAAATATTGTTTGAATTTCTTAAAAATAATTGATAGTGTAATTACTAATACTTCTAGACTTCTTTTATATCATATTTCTGTTGTAATATATCTTTATTATTAAATACCTCTTGTTCGTGTTATTTTTCATTGGTTTTTCCTTTGACCATCATTTTCCGTGGTACAAGGAATTTTTACCATATCTTAAAGATTCAATAAATATATCGAACATTTCTAAAGAAAATGGAATTTCAAATTCATTTTAGAAAGGATTAAATCAAAAAAATTAAAATTTTATCTCACAATTTTTAAAATATTAATTTAACAAATTTGATTATAATGCAGAATTAACGGAAATGAAATTAAAAAAAAACTTTCCTACAGAATGCAGATCGATTGAGAACGCATTAATATTTAAACTTTTTTTAAAAGTTCTACGATAATTCTTCTGCGAAAAAAAATTTAATTTTAAATACAATTTGATGTTTGTAGGTCCTTATATTCTGTACAAATAATTTTTATTTAATTTAATTTCGTTCGATTAATAAAAAATTAGTTTCGATTTTTGAAAAAAATTTTTTTTCGTTATAAAATCAAAAAGCGAAAAAAAAATTGTCTCCAAAAAAAAAAAAAAAATATCCGAAACAACAATTGCAGTAATGAAAACTTTAAAAATGCAAAATTTCAAGTTCGTAGAAAAAGGACCAAAACCGGAATATTTTAATTTGCTCACTGATTTGACCTTTAGAAAAAAAAATATATAATATGTCTTTTACGGCCTAAAATCCAAATAAAGTTGAAAAATGTGAACACTGATATTCGCACTATTTAAATTATTTGGACTATTGTCCCTAATCTTAAATCGCCACGTTTATCACAACGTTTCGGCCAAACGCTTTAAATATTTTTCAGGTGGTTAACTGAACCCTTTAGACAAAAATGGGGTAGACTATTCTAGTTCCACGTGCCATGTCTTATGGATGTCAAAATTTCGTATCTTTAAAATATAATTTCCCTCAAAAGTTCTGCACAGAAACATAATAAGGTATTGAATCAAATACTTTATATTTGTCAATGGATTTAAACAATAAATTCCACTGTGATATCATTAAGGCAATGGAGAAAATTGGAGAGGGGAAAAAACAGGTGATTTTTGGTAATGTTTAAAAGTGATCGAAAAAAGTTTTCAATTTTGACATTGAATTATCAATTCAAACTTTGAAAATAAATAACAATTTTTAAAAGATGAGGACAAATTTCCGAATAATATAAATATCACTGTAAATTTTGACCTTTTTTTAAAATTTAAGAAATATAGACAGATACTGAAAAAGCCGAAACGTTCTAATAAATATAATAGCAACAAAGATGAGGATAAATAGTCCGGTAATGTAAAATTGTACATATATAATTTTTCTTAAATAAAAGAGACAGATACTGCTATTATGAAAATTGTTGTGATAAATATGGCGAGAATGATATTAAATAAATAAACCGAATAATGTAAATACGTCTTTTTAATAGTTCATCTCAGAAATATAGACAAATACCGATATTCGCATTTAGTATATCAAAGATTTTGGATTTTTGGTTAAAATCTCGACTAAATCTGAATAAAAATTATTTCTCCTACTTAATGGTCTTGGAATAAAACTAACCTCGAAGAGGATGGGGGTACGACCATCTTGAACCTGACCTGAAGCTGTGTTATTTTTTCAGCACTTCCAATATCCTAATTATTTAATATTTAATGCTGAGGGGAAAGTTCAACTAATTTATAGATATAGAAGAACGAAACATATAAACTATCTGAATAAGATTAACAGATAATAAAATCACAACCTCTGCCAAACTTGTTCTACGAGATCAGTTCATTAGGGCATAAGTTTAGGTCTTTTTTTTAACACGTCCTTGTATCAGACAAAGATTAATTCAGCGAACGACAACACGCATTCATTTGCATGTAGAAGGCAGGAATAAAAATGGACGAACTCGATTTGGTTTGGTGAGAGAGCTGTGGCAAAATACATACACAAATATCTAAAGATGACGTATTGGAATTTGATGAAAACGGTGATTTGGGACGTGGCCGACGGTCACATTCGAAACAAAGAATTGAAAATAAATAAGGTGCTATTCATAAAAATATTTTAAAAGAGAAGGGTTCTTGTTGGTAAAATTTTTTGTCGAAATTTATTTAATTTTGAAGTATCTCTTAATCAGGATCAATGGATTTGTAGAAAACAAAATAGGGAGAAGGAAGAGGAAGAAAATAGGAGAAGAAGAAGAAGAAGAAGAAGAGGAGGAGGAGGAGGAAGAAGAAGAAGAAGCAGGAGGAGGAGGAAGAAAAAGAGGAGGAGGATGAAGAAGAAGAAGAAGCAGGAGAAGGAGGATGAAGAAGAGGAAGAAGAAAAAGTTAGAAAGAAGAAGAAGAAGATAATGATGAAGAAGAAGAAGCAGGAGGAGGAAGAAGAAAAAGGAGGATGAAGAAGAGGAAGAAGCAGAAGTTAGAAAGAAGAAGAAGAAGAAGAAGAAGAAGAAGAAGAAGAAGGAGTTTTGAGAAAAGGAGGAAGAAAAGAAGAAGAAGAAATCATATGGGAGGAGGAGGAAAAAGAGGAGGATGAAAATGAAGAAGATTTAAGAAGCAAAGAAGAAATGATGAAAAAGAAGAAGAAAATTTTAGAAAGAAAAAAAGAAGAATAATGATGAAGAAGAAAAGAAGCAGGGGGAAAAAATTTATTAAAAAAAGGATGAAAAAAGGAAGAAGCAGGAGTTAGAAAAGAAGATTAAGAAGAAGAAGAAGAAGAAGAAGAAGAATGTTAGGAGGATATAAAGATTTAAGGAAGAAGAAAAATCAAAAGCAGGAGGAGGGAAGAAGAAAAAAGGATGATGAAGAAGAAGAAGAAAAAGAAGAAGCAGGAGAAGGAGGATGAAGAAGAGGAAGAAAAAAAGAAAAAGAAGAAGAAGAAGATAATTAAAAGAAAAAAAAGAGGAAGAATAAAGGAAAAGAAAAAGGAAATGAAGAAGAGGAAGAAAGGAGTTAAAAGGAAGAAGAAAAAGAAGAAGAAGAAGAAGAAGAAGAAGAAGAAGAAGAAGAAAAAAAGGAAAAGGAGGATAAAAGAAGAAGAAGAAGGAGGAGGAGGAAGAAAAGAGGAGGAGGATGAAGAAGAAGAAGAAGCAGGAGAAGAGATTTGAAAAAAAGAAGAAAAGAAAAAAAGAAAGAAGAAGAAGATAGAAATGAAGAAGAAAGAAGCAAAAAAGGAGGAAAGAAGAAGAAGAAGAAAAGGAGGATTTAAAGAGGAAGAAGCTTGAGTTAAAAAGAATAAGAAGAAGAAGAAGAAGAAGAAGAAGAAGATAATGATGAAGAAGAGAAAGAAGCAGGAGTTAAAAAGAAGAAGGTGATGATGATGAAGAAGAAGAAGCAGGAGAAGGAAGAAGAAGAAGAAGAAGAAGAAGAAGAAGAATATAAGGCAGAAGAAGAAATAAAGAAATGGAAAGAAAAAAGAAGAAAAGAAAGAACATAAAGAAGAACTCGAATAAAAAAGAATTGAAATAAAGAAAAATTAAGGAATATAACAAAGAAGGAAAAATGATAAGAAAGACAAAAGAATTGAAGAAAAAAAATATATGGAAGAAGAAAAATTAATAAAAGAAAAATATAAAAAGAAAATAAAGAAAAGCAAGGCAATAACAGTCAGGAAGACGAAGATTAAAAGAAAATTAAAGAAAGAAAGAAGAAGAAAGGTAGAAGAAAAAATAAGAAAAAGCAAAACAAAAGAAATGAATAAAAAAATTCTAAAAGAAAGAATAAATAAAGAAATGAAAGAAAAAAGAAAGAAGAATATAAAAAAAATACTCGGACAAAAAAGAACTAAAAGAAAGAAAAATTGAAGAATATAACAAAGACATTTAAAGCAGGGAATGAATATAAAGACAAAAGAATTTAAGAGAAAGGATGTAAGAAGGAAAAAAAAGAAAGAAAGAGCGTATGATAAACATGAATAATGAAAAAATAAAAAAAGGTCAATATATGTAAGAAGTAAAGAAAGAAATAGAAGAATATAAGAAGAAAGTAGAAGAATAAATAAAGACAAAAAATAAAAGAAAAAATGAAAGGAAATACGAGAAAGAATAAATATTAATGAAAGAAAAAGTAATAAAGGGAAGAAGAAAAATTAAGGAAAGAAAAATATAAAAAAGAAATATTAAGAAAGGCAAGGAAATAAAAGGAAAACGAGGATTTAAAAAAAAAGAAAGGAGAAAGGAAAAGTATAAAAAAGACGAAAAAGAAAAAAAAGAAGAATTGCATAAGAAAATTCTAAAGAAGAAATGACGAAATGGAAATAAAAAGTAGAAAAGAAAAAAAAGAAAAAAAAATATTAAAAAAAAAAACCACGAGAAGTCAGGAAAACGAAGATTAAAAAAAAAACGAAAGAAAGATGGAGAAAGGAAAAGTAAAAAAGACGAAAAAGAAATGCATAAGAAAATTCTAAAGAAGAATTAAAGAAATGGAAATAAAAAAAGAAGAAAAGAAAAAAAAAATATTTTTAAAAAATCACGAGAAGTCAGGAAAACGAAGATTAAAAAAAAACGAAAGAAAGATGGAGAAAGGAAAAATAAAAAAGACGAAAAAGAAATGCATAAGAAAATTCTAAAGAAGAATTAAAGAAATGGAAATAAAAAGAAGAAAAGAAAGAAAAATATTTTTAAAAAATCACGAGAAGTCAGGAAAACGAAGATTAAAAAAAAACGAAAGAAAGATGGAGAAAGGAAAAGTAAAAAAGACGAAAAAGAAATGCATAAGAAAATTCTAAAGAAGAATTAAAGAAATGGAAATAAAAAGAAGAAAAGAAAGAAAAATATTTTTAAAAATCACGAGAAGTCAGGAAAACGAAGATTAAAAAAAAACATGAGAGAAAGAAGAAGAAAAAGAAGACTAAAAAGAAAAACAGAATTGAATAAGAAAATTCTATAAGAAAGAAGAAGTAACAAAGAAAAATATTAGAAAGATATATTAAGAAAATGGAAATGGAAAAATAAGAATTACTGACAAAAGAAAAAAGAACAACAACTGAATAATAAGAATTAAAATAAAGAAAAATTGAAGAATATTAAAAATGAAAGAAGTTTATAAGAAGAAGGACCATTTAGGAAATTCGATGTAAAGAAAGAAAATAGAATATAAGTACGAAGGAAAAATAAAGGAAAATATACAAAAGAACTAAAGAAGAGAACAAAACTATAAAAGTCTGGGAAAAAAGGGTAAAGAAAGAAGAAGAAAAGAAGAAAAACGAATAATTTAAGGAAGGTACTAAATTACACAATAAGAAAGAATTTTAGAAGAAAAACAAAATAAAGATGAATATTGAGGTTTCGTTAAAAAAAGAAGAAAGGAAAAGTATAAAATCGAGGAAGGTAAAATGAAAAGACATCTAGAAAAAGAAAGAAAAAGAAGCCGAAAGAATGAGATAAAAGAACATGGAAAGAAAAGAAGGCGAAGAAAAAGAGAAAAAGAAAACAAAAAAAGAAAGAAGAAAATATGAAGATATAAAGAAAAAATAAAAAAAGGGTAAAATAAAAGAAATAAGGAAACAAACTAAGAAAGAGCAAAGAAAATAAGCAAGAAAGAAAAGAGAAATGAAAGAGAATGAAAGAGATAAAAAGGAAATGTTGAGATATAGAGAAGAAAATTAAAGCCGAAATAAAATGAAGAAATATACAAAGAACGAAATAATGAAATAAAGAAGAAAATATTGAAGAAAGAAAAAAGAAAGAATGAAGGATCAAAAAGATAAGTTTCAAGATATGCAGAATGAAAAGAAACGATCTACAAAATAAAGAAAGAGTGAATGAAAGGAAAATATTGGAAGAAAAGTGAATGATTGAAAGTGAATAGAAGAAGAAAACTTCAAGAGTTAAAGAAGGAAACGAAAAAATCCGAATGTAGAAAAAAAAAAACAAACAAAAAAAAAAAACAAAGAAAGAAAAATATCGAATTACCAAGAAAGAATTATTGAAAGAAAATTGACGAAATTATCCAAACATAGAAAAGAAAATTAAAGGAGATGCAAAACGGAAACATATGGAGAAGGAAAGAAAAAAAAGAAAGAAAGAATGAAAGACAGAAAAAGAAAGAAAGATAAAAAGGAACATAGAAAGAAAGAATGGAAGGAAAAGAAAGAAAGACAAAAAGAAAGAAAGGGAGAAAAAGAAAGAAAGAAAGAAAGAAAGAGAGAGAGATAGGAGATAAAGGTAAAATGAAAGAAAGTTAAAGAAAGATATGTAAAAAGAAAGAAAGAAAGAAAGAAGAAAGAAAGGTAAAAAGAAAGAAAGTAGAAAGAGAGACAGAAAGAGAAAGGTAAAAAGAAAGAAAACGAAAGAAAGGCAAAAAGAAAGAAAGAAAAGAAAAGAAAGAAAGAAAAAAGAAAGAAAGAAATGTAAAAAAGAAATAAAGAAAAAAGAAAGAAAGGTAAAAAGAAAGAGAGAAAGAAAGACAAAAGAAAAGAAGAAGAAAGAAAGGAAGAAGCAAACAAAAAAGAAAATTTAAAAGAAAGGAAGAAAAAATAAAGAAAGAATGAAAATGAAATAAAATATTGAAGAAAGTTTATAGAATGAATGTTTCATCAAACAGAAGAAAATGTCAAATTATAGAGAAAAAATTAAAGAAGTAAAACGAAGAAAGATAGAAAGAAAGAAAGAAAAAGAGAAGGATTGAAAGAAAAAAATATTTAAGTAGACTTCGAAAATACAAAGATGAAAATCTGTAGGCAAAAAAAAGAAAGGGGGAAAGAATGAAAAAATAAAATAAATAAAAAAAGATCGAAACATATGGAAGAAAAAAAAAGGGAGACACAAATGGAAAGAAAGTAACAAAATCGACACGAAAAGGGATGGAAACATGAGAAAAAGAAAGAAAATTCAGTTAATGAAGACAAGTATGAAAATCACAAATTAGAAATGAAATCGAATAAAACGAAGAAAAATCATAAAATAAGAAAAGAAAAGAAAAAAAAGTAAGAAATCTAAAGGAAAAGAAGAAAGAAATAAAAGAAAGAAGAAAGAAAAGAAAATAAAAAAAATAAAAATAAAAATACGAAAAAAAGAAAAGGTCGAAAAGAAATAGCAATAGAAATGATAAAGTTGATTTCTGGTAGAATTCTAAAATGGGGAATTTACGCATGCATCACGTTTCAGTAATTCTGGAAAAATCATTCTCAACTGGCAGTTAGCACTTCTTCATAATTCAATTCTAATGACGTAATAGAAGGAGATATTTGTGTAAACTTGAACCTTCGTACCTGAAAAATTCAAAATCAAAAAGAAGTTTATCAAAATGACGGTGTTTCCACTATTATTTTAACTACCTTCAATACTCGGCAATGTTTATTGTTTCAAAACGTAATGATTAGAATTGTAATAAAAACTAAACATATGATGAAAGTGAATTTATACATTTTGTCGTTAATTTGAGATTATGACCCACGCTCAGTCTACAATGAAAAAATTCAGAATACTTACATTTTAATGTAAATGTACATACTTCATTCGAAAATAACTTAATAAATTTGATAAAATCTACCGTTTGGAAGATATCGACAGTAACAATTCGGATTTATTTGCGTCGCGGCAGCCATTACTGGAGTTGTTTGCATCTATTGGCTGCGGAACTATTATGAGTGGAATATTCACTTGTCTTGATTATTACGCACGCAATATAGTTCTCTTGCGCAGTAATTGAGACAAGTAGAGACGAGTAGATCAGTAAAAAAAGAAGCCGTTAACTACGTTCTTCCGCGCTTAGATTTTCGCGCTTAGATTTTCGCGCCGAATGTATGTAAACAATGCCAGTAATGGCTGCCGCCAACGATGGGGATGAATCCGAACTTTTCCTGTCCATAACTCCAAAACGGTAAATTTTATCAAATTTATCAAGCCATTTTCGAATGAAACATATATATTTACACCTTTATGTAAGTATTCGGGAAATTTTTAATGCAAACTGAGGGCGGATCCTAATCTATAAATTAACCTATTTTCTTTGTTCTAAAATTTAGAAAAAGGAAATGAATATACAAAAAGACATATAATGTATTTATCTGCGACAATATGCAACGAGGAACGTAGTTTTGCATTCACAACTCGCACACAAAGCAACCAGCTGTATATAAATACGTTTACATTGTGGCACGCTTGTGCTTTCATAGCCTGACACAACGAAACCACAACTTCTAAATTTTAAACAAAAATAAATAAATAAATAAATATATCGTCAAATCTCGTTCTAATCTCCAGAGACGAGGTTTCGGCAACGGAGATTGAGATCTCGAGAATCTGAAAACTTGATTCTGGCGTTTGGAACTCCGTTGAGGGGATCGGCTACTCTCGATGGTGTTCGAAGGGCAAACGTTTGTCAGGAACGGAGAAAACGTACAGGGGGGGGGGACGGGGTAACAAATAATAAAAACGAACAGAAGCAACGGAATGATAGATTAAAAGACTGAGATGAAAAGAATGAATTTCTCACAACAAAGAAACAAGAAAAGAAAATACAAACAAAAAACTGCGGAAAGCGAAATTTTGGTCGCTGTAAAGTGAATAAAGTGTTTTCAAATATGAAATAGAAAAGATAGCATGGAAAGAAAAAAAAATCGGAAAAAAGACGGAAAACATATTAATAAAGAAACGAAAATAAAGAAACGAAAATAAAGAAAGAAATAATAAAAAAAGAAAGAAGGAAACAAAGAAAGAAAAAAGAAAAAGAAAGAAAGAAAAATGAAGGAAAGATAGAAAGTAACAAAAAAGAAATAAAGAAAGAATAAAAGAAAAAAAAAAGAAAGAAAGAATATACGAAAAAGAAAGAAGGAAAGAAATAAAGAAAGAAATGAAAGTAAGAAAAAAGAAAGAAAATATAAAGAAAGGAAGAAAATAAGATAAACAAAGCAAAGAAAAAATAAAGAAAGAAATAAGAAAAATAATGAAAGAAAATAAGAAAAGAAAGA